CATCTAATTACACAGTCAGTTTGATTCTGACTAGCTTTACTATGAAACCTGTTTTCTGGTTTAATACAGGACAGATGTTTGGGTAGTTTTCCTCAGGTCAATTTAACCATGTACTAAATCTTATCATATAAAGGTAAATGTTATGGCAAGTTCTAAATCGGCAGACAGAAGGCGGATACAAAAGAGGGGTACAAAGCAAAGTTTTGTTGAGCGAAGAGATGAAAAGAAAATCTGGGTTTTTATCTTGTATCTTCTCTGATAAAAAAACAAAGTGGACTAAAAACTAAAAAGTGTTGCCGAGCAAAGAGAGACTGAAAAATAAATCTGGAACCATTTCTAGTGATTTCTCTGATAAAAAAACAAACTGGACTGAAATGTGCCATTTATTGTTAAATGTTACATTATTACATCATTACATAATATGTTCACGTGACATGTAATATTGTTGGGTTGGTGTCAGTGGCATAGCTTTCCTTTCTCACTGATGGGTGGAAATGTCAAATATTTTCATCAAAAAGAGATTTAAAAAGAGAAAGACAAAATTTATTCTACGTCTTGGTAAATACATTTTGAATAAATCAAAGATACGCAAATTTTATTTACTGGGGTTTTATAACATTTTATAATAAATAATGTATATTTTAGTCAAGCAAGACTAAAATATAAAAGAGAATTATTAAACTATGAATGCATTTTATGTTTATATGTGCAGCTGAGCAGAGCAATACGAAATTATTACCTTTTAAGGTAATTAAAATTACCGGTACCAAGGTTGTTTTTATGGTCTCGCTTAAAATCCGCCCACCCCCAGAAAACAATCCTACTATTATGGCGGTAATTAATAGTTTGAGAAAGTGTATTATGTTGAAAACCTAACAGTTAAATAATGAGGAAAGGGATATTGCAAATTGGTGATGGAAATATAATTATAATACTGTAAACAGTGTTAATTCCCATAAGCATTCCTAATGTAGTGACATTATGTTCCATAAATATAAACAGAAACAGTAGGATGACTGGACACTGGACCCACACCAATCTGATTAAAACACAGATCCTATTTCGTTTCGTTTTTATAGTTCAAAATTTCGTTTTACTTGTCTTTACTACACTAGGATCTGGAAGAGTTGTTATCATTGACGTGTTCTGAATGGTGTGAGGAATTAGCCAATGAAACAGTCTGTTACAGCGAACTTTAGGCGTGTTTTGCACGAACTGTGGGTAATCCACTAGTAACATAAATGTTGATTGGTTAATCAAATGTCTGACATCATAGGGTCAAAAGCCGCTCTTATGACCTCTGACGCGACCTATTGCTACAACCGGTCAGATCTTCATGTAGTGTAGGCCATCGAAAGTATAAAAAGATAGGTTGCCAGGCAACGAAACATACGCCCACAGCAGCTAAATCGTCCGGGCAGTCAACAAGAGTTGTCGCATATTTTTAATTTTCGGTAATGAAACATTTATAATACACTAAAATCTGATTATAAATTTAAAGTCAATCGGATATTAACTTTGGCCTCTAGAGCGTCCACAAGATTTTTCAAAGTGAGCAAGGGCCATAACTCTGGCAGTAATTATCGGAAATTGCTAAAAATCAATAGGCTTCGTCGTCGCATAACCTTAAACACTGTGTATGAATTTAAAGTCAATCGGATATTAACATTGGCCTCTAGAGCATCCACAAGATTTTTTGAAGTGATCAAGGGCCATAACTCTGGCAGTAATTATCGGAAATCGCTGAAAATCAATAGGCTTCTTTGTCTCAAGTACTTAAACACTGTGTATAAATTTAAAGTCAATCGAATATTAACTTTAGCCTCTAGAGCGTCCACAAGCAATTGTGGACGACGGACACATTTATACGCCCACATTTAAATGTGGGCGTATAAAAACGAAACGAAATATAGATCTGTATTTTAATCAGATTGGGATGCACACCCTTCTACCCCACGTTGGTATCTGTGTCTGGTAGAAAATACAATGTACATGTATGCTTAAAGTTTAAACTTAATTCAACAAATGTCAGCCAGTTCACACCTATTATTATTTGTCACCCTGTTTGCAAATCAAGAACCCCTCCTGGAGTAATTGACAACAACATTAAAATTATACATACTCCACCTAATATAATTCCACGTCAGCTCAGATGAATACAACTATACCCTGTTAAAGGAACCTAACACCAATGCTATACAGAAGCCCTTAAATGCTGAAATGAAATGGGGCTTACTTTTCCGCCCCAACTGTGTTAATAAATATGGGCATACACCACCTACTGTTAAGCAAATCTCCATTCATTAAAGAATTAATGAACCAATACCCTTGTCCCTAAATATGCCACTGTATGTTGACCCACTTGTTATAGAAGCAAATAGTAACCTGATAAAGCTTGTAACCATTGCTTTAGGAATATGGAAGATGATGATATCATTAATATAACATATGAAAAAATTTCAGTATAAAAAATATATGACATTCCAAACAGTATGACTAGTGGTGAGTAGTATATCTAAATATTTAGCTTTACTTATCATAACTTCATTTCATAGTCATAACATGTACTTAATCTACTATAACTACTACTATGTTTATAAAATAATAATCCAAACATGAACCAGAAATGATGAGGGTTTTTTTTCAAAAATAATATCCATGGGTGTATACTAGAGAGGATAAAGGGATGATCCTTTCATACTGAGAATAACATATTACTATATTGTTGATATACCCTCATTTTTATATACAACCTCCAATGACTAAATTTATTCACTATAATTATAATCATAGTCTAGTGTGGTACAACAATATGAGAGAAAGAGAGAGCGGCTCAACTTGTATAGACATGGCCCTACAATATGCACACCACTAAGTCTTATCCACCATTAGCCAAGACACCAGAATCTGTCCAATATTTAAGGCCTGCATACACCATACAACATAAGGCTAGGGACCAAAATATGCCCAATGTTTAAGCCTTTAACACACTAGGAATTGTTTGTCGCTGATGATCCCACTTCACTTCATGGATGTGAGAAGTGCTATAAGATGTACTCGAAATGATGGGTGATACACAGAAGTACATGTACCTGTATGACAATTGCTGAAGCTATTACCAAATGGGAAATGAATCCAGCTTTTATAGACTGTGTAAGCATGTCATGCATCATGCACCATGCACACCACCAGTCTCTACTTCTAGTCGAATTTTGTTAGAAGTTATTAACTGTGATCCATGATGTGTTATTAGACAATATGATATAAACAGTGTTAAATATTGTGTGTTATAAAAGTTAGGTATGCATATTCACTGTGAGTTATTGTGTAATAAGTTTGTAATATATATAGTAGTCCAATGTATATTGTTGAATACACAGTTTATAATGTACAGTAGTATATGTATATTGTTGAATACACAGTTTATAATATACAGTAGTCCCATGTATATTGTTGAATACACAGTTTGTAATATGCAGTAGTCTCATGTATATTAGTGAATACACCCATTTAAATATACAGTAGTCCCGTGTGTATATTGGTGTATATTGTTGAATAGCAGTTTATTATATACAGTAGCCCCATGTGTATATTGCTGAATACACAGTTTGTAATATACAGTAGTCCCATGTATATTGTTGAATACACAGTTTATAATATACAGTAGTTTATAATATACAGTATTAGTAGTCCCATGTATATTGATATTTATAATTAATATTTTTATTGTATATTACAGGTGTACATGGTACCATTGATGAATATGTATGGTTAATACTGATACATGTATCAGTGTATGAGAGTGGTTCATATTGATGGATGTATGACTGTGTATGTGGTTTATACAGGGCTAAATACTGTACAGTATAATACAGACATATAAATGATTACAGAAGATTGTGTTTGTGCCAAGATTGAGCAATGTACTTTACCAATTTGTAATGCAATAAACTAATGAAGATGAACGATCATCATGTCATGTGATGTGACATTTTGCCTGGTTAGTAACTATAGCTATGGCCTACTCTTATTTTGATTTAGAACCATCAGTGGTTCTGCCAATGGTATACAAGGGACCTTGGATTTTCGGTCTATTCAACGACTAGACACTTTTCCTTTTCAGACCCATTCTTGCTTTCTACTGATAAAGGAAGAACCATTCTGTAAAATCCTAAGGAATTTCTGCGATTAACACTGGCATAAAAATCGGGCCATCCGGGTTTGTGAGTCAGCGCCTTACTCACTGAGCCACTATGGTGCCCTCAGCTGTGTTAAACTGAATTCATACAAGTGGGAACATTTTGCAGGTCTGTTATTTGTCTGTGTTCTTAAAATTACAAATTAGACAACCACTTTCCATTTGACATAATAAAATTTCTCTCAAATTGCAGCACCCATGGTAAACTTACCACAAAACATTGTTCTTTTTAAAACACAATAAATAAAAAAAAATCATAAATAAAGTTCTAAATCTGTATATTAATAACCCAGGCAAAATTGTAATTTCTAACCCATGTGGTGGCCAGTAATCAGAATAAATATTAGGCTATTTTGGTAGACTTGAGATACTGGTATACCTGAGTACACAGAAAAGTTATACACCACATTGAATTTCTTTGTGTAATGAGTAGAATGGGTGTTATGTGTACGTTTTGACATATCAACTCACAGCAATTATAATATGCAGGGTATAACCCTAGTTCGTGTAAGTTCAAATAATATGGAAACTGCATGCCTTATTATTCATTTTTGAAAATAGAACACGTAACTCTATACAAACCCAACTTAATTCATTAGCTCAGAGGTAAAGTTTCCCTAAGTAAATTGGAAAATTTACATGTGTAGACCTTATTTCAATATAATCGTATCTTCAATAGGCCTACATTCATTAATTTCTTATGATTAATTCATTCATAAACGACTGGAATTATTAAATGAAACCTTGTTATTACTGGTATTAAGACAAACCAAGTATAAGAGTAAAAGATTTGTATACTCACAATATAGTTGTGTCTGTCTTAACTTGCGGTATGGTCTCTAGCTGTAAAAACATGCATCTCACGGTAGTCCTAAAACACAGACAACGGGTAGGACAAGCACGTACTCCTGTCAAAAAAGTTACTAAAAACACAAGAACACGTATAACGGACATTTCTTCAGTTTGTTGAAGTTAATCCACGCGCTCTAAGTCACCGAGCCCTCCAAGTTTTGTTGTGATTAGAGGACTAACCCTCTACACACTCAACTCACAAATAGCACTACGCGCAATGAGCAAGTTCTAGTTAACTGGACAAGTGTGTTTGATTTACCGTATAACCACTCTTCGTGTATTTGCTTGTGCTCCCATCCAAATCAGACTCTCCAACGCGCGTGCTATTACTATCTTGATATTTCCGAGACATAAATTCGTTACGCGACCTCGCGTACGAATATGACTTCAGTCCGTCACTCCAATGTGATTATTTTAGCAGACACAAATTCAACTTGAAAAGTTTTTAAGGCATAACGTAGCTTATACCTTTCAAAATATCGTCTGACAAAGGAAAAATATCTCGCTGGACTAGAAAGTAAATCACTAGAGTCTACTGGTGTTGCGGACATATACGGGGGGCGAGTTTAGTTTTCGTTGAAGACAGACTCCCATCACAAACAACTAATATCACAGAAATTGGAGGGGGTGCGGATGGGGCAAGGGTATTTTTGTAGTGTTTTTTTTAGGTTGGTTTTTTTTTTTGGGGGGGGGGGGTGTATCATTATTTAATCATAAGGGATGGGCCTACCCCCCCCCCCCAGTTTTATTTTATTTCTTCACATTGAAATGCGAATCTAATCTTCAGCCCAAGGCCTATGACTAGCCTTTGTTTAATACAATGTACCTTTAAAAAGTAAACATGGTTGACCAAAAAAAAAATTGGCAGTGGAAAGGCTATACAATTTGAATATACCGCATGCACAAAATGGGAATTGCCCGTTCACTGTTATTTTATTCAAGTTTTGTTTAAAAAAAAAAAAAAATTTCTGTAAATTTTGAATACGTGTGAAATTCCATTTCTCAATTAATTTGTTATGAGCATACATCAAGCATTATATCAGACATAGTTGAAAAATAACAATGGACACGTCGTTAAAATTAAGAAATATTTAACTTATAATATTTTTACGAGAATTTAAAAATATATCCACATAAAACAAACTTATATTGCATAACGGATATTAGACTATTATGTAAAGTTGTGAAATTAAATAGATTTGTTTTTTGAAAGAAAATTTTATATGTGTCGGGCTTTTGTACATGTAATATGTCGGGTGTTCATTGTAGGTTAAAACTGGAAACAGCTTGAGATCTTGGTGTTGGAGGAAGTGAAAAATGGAATGAAAAACGTAACGGAAAGAACTAGATTACGACCTAAGAAACGTCGGTGTGGTAAGATAAACTAAAACAAATGTTCTTTTAACACGATATGAATCAGTGCTATAAGTATATTAGAGTACACGGGGATTTTTAAAAACAAAATATCCTGTAATGCTTATTTCACTACAAACTTTCTCTGCATTTGTGTAATGTCGACAACAAAAGAGGACAATCCCGACCCAACCCCACCCCTCCACAAAAATCAATTATTATTTTTTCTTGCCACACATTTAAAAATAAAATCCCAGTTGTGTATATAGAGGGTGCTTAAAGTAAAAACTATGTTTACGTCGCTCCGTACGGCGCCCATAAAAGTTCGACACAAGAATTCTTACAGGCACCAAGAGAAGAAATAGTTCATCATTTCCAAAAGCCTTTCTGTTTTCAATGGAAAATTCACGGCTTATATACTTGGTGAGACATATACGGAATCCTATAAATAATAAGACGACTGTTTCTAGTTTGCTCAAATTTATCGATAAATATTGACTCAAAAATAAAACATCCAGAAAGAAACCCTCTGAAAATGCCTCTGGTTTTGCTAGAATTATCGTATCTCTCGGATCACAACGACAAATATATAGCTATATTAGAAACCTGTCAATCAGAAAGGAAAATGACCATTTGCGGCGAGTATAATTTGGTGGTCATGGGGGACTAAAGCCAAAACTTATTACATTCACTCCACTGAGTGTACAGAAAACATGCCCTTTGTAGCTGTCCGGCGCTCCACCCCTTCATAAATTGATTTTACCCCAACGTCTTTTATTTACCAATGGTAACGATCGGTGCCTGTCACATTATCTTGTATCTTATAATTTGTAGATTACCATATCAAGGTTATTCGTATTACAAACTTTGATAAATTTCTTGATTATCTTTCCCGCAACTTGTATTATCCCATGCCCTTTCGTGCTTCTGGTCATTTCTGAGAATGGTGACATAATTTGAATAACAATTCATACACCTGTACGTGACCCAATTCAAATCGTGTCTGATCACCCTGGGTCAAAGATTATGTAAGAGATTCTTAGGTATGTGTCACTAGCTCATCGTTTGGTATTTTATCTATTGTGTCGAGGACTACTGGTGATGGGGTAAGCAAAGAGGTGGGTTCGGTTTGCGTCTTCATCAAAAGGCGCATGTAAGATTACATTACAATCTTCTTCTGAGCCATTGACCCAAACAGTCTGTAAATACCGACCACGAAACTAGATCTGTTTATTTTAAGACTACTCCCAATGTTGCTGTGTACATCCTGTGAATGTTGGTGGAAGAATATCTTCTAATATAACAGAAAAACATGCAAAAAATTAAAAATATCTACACCAAAATCGTAACATTAACTCTTGTAGTTCCAGGCATCAATTAGATCTAATACAAACAAAAGAGAGTGCACATTCCACCCGAGTCAATGTCTATTGGAAGAAAATTGTTTTCGAGACACTACGATATTTTCAAGATACTAAACAAATACTAAACAGCCTTTAACTTTATCAAGGTTTTTTAGAATATAAAGTTTATATTTTATTGGCGGGGGTGGGGGGGGGCAGAAAAGCGGCTGATTTTTTGTTCCAACAAAACAAAGAGCGAGAAATGGGGTATTACGTCCACTCAACACATGGTAAATTTGTTTAATAATAATACAATTGCATGTAGGGGTCTTTAGCAGAAAGAACACGACGAAAACCTATATGTTAGGTAGGCTATTAACATCTACTACACTTTACTAAATGGTACTTCTTTGATCTTAAACGCACACGTTCGACCCCCCCCCCCCCTTCCCAACCCGAAGTTCCCTCTCTCATCCAACAACAAAACAAACGTAATGGGAGGGGTGGCTTAGTCTTCAAGGGTTTTTAGTATCGATCATTTTCTTCAGACTGAAGTCGTAGACGGAAACGATGTAACACAACGGGAATATGAAGATATCCCGAGCGAGTCTTACCAGAGATTTCACCAGACATGCTCTTCACAGACTGGACAACAGGTCATACACCGTATGACATTTGAACAGTTGGTCATTTTCAATTTTAGCCGACAGGGACTATTAGGTGCTAATTACGGGAACAAAGTACACTATCTAGTATCCGAATAGTTGACACTAGCCATTGTAAAACAAAACCTATCGCCATTTAATTCAACCCGAACTTGATCTTGGAAATTAAAAGATATATTATAATCTTAAGGTGAAATGTCTGCATCTGACATCAGATATAACAATGAACGAAAGCTCGAGGTGTCTAAACGGGAATTAACCTATTTGGTGTCATTCGATATTCAGTAAGTTTGTACTCAAAGCCAGTCAACTGTATAAAGGTCTTGGTTTAAAGAGGCGGTATCACTTTCAGCAAGAAAATATATGATAATGGCCTACTCTAAAAAAAAAAAAACCCACAGATTCGCCTAATTATTGAAAATCCAAGTGGTGGCTTACTAAGATAAGATAAATTTTGCGAAAATTTTGTAAATTTTGGTAGATTTTGACCTGAACATACCCAATGTACCCGTATAGAAAAGCGTTAAATTGAAATTTGTTGTTTTGCCGACCAGCCAATATCTAAGTGGATGTTCCCCTTTAAGATTACCTATTACCAAGTAGAGATTACAGGGTGTCAAAGGATCAAGATTCGGCCATTGATAATGTTTACATTGCAGATTATAAATTTGTCTTGTCAAGAAGTTGTAATTGAAACCCAACATCGAAAATTCATTTTAATAGCAACGTTTGTAATTGAACCAACGCAAATCATCCGTGTCAAAGAAACATTTATCACCTTCATTGGTCTCATTGGAACATTTTGCGATATAGATATTTGCATATAGTATGATTGCTAAAACAGAATCTAAAAAGCTTTAATGTAAATCTGAAAAGTGAACAAAACCTTTAACGAACTTTTAAAACACGTAAACATACGCATTAAATTTCACATGGACAAATTGTATATGTAACAAAACACATGCTTGAGGTTACAGACGATCTCAGATGCTTATTTCAAATCTTAAAGACATTTCGTTTGGAATGCAGAAATGCAACAAAGGTGTGTAAGCTTGTGGAAAATTGAATCGGGGGCTCCAGAAACACCAAACCTACTCACGACAACCTACGCTAACTGGTTTGGATGTAGACTACAAATCGTTAAGAGTGAATTCCAAGAACTACAGGTTTGAGACGTCTTTAATCATGATGGGTGGATACCACAGCAAAACATTGTCTAGTATAAGAAATTCTGATATAGATGTTTAGGTTTCCACAAGTCGACCCACAGTGGTTCAATGGGTATGGCCAGGCTCACTAACCTGGAGAGCCCTGGATTTTCCAGCGTGATGTCAGTGGTACCTGGAGGGGCTGGTAAGAAAAGGTGCTAAATCGTTTAGAAAGGACGTTAACATCTCATGGGTGTGGGGAAACGAAATGAAAGTATGGCGTTGTACCGCTTGTCCGAGGAAAATGCAGAACAGCAGGACGTTAAACCCCATTTCATTTCATTTCATTTCCGGGCAAAATATTCATCATAGCACACACACGATGCGCGTTTTCCTTAGCTCGGTTGGTAAAGAAAATCAATTAAGACGTTAAACCCCACTGCATTCATTCAGTTTTTTCTCGGTTTTATTTGCAAAGCAATAAAGAACATAAAAGTATGGATGGTCATTTCAAACCTAAATCTGCTATTCATTTGATAAATAGTATCTATATAGAATAGTAAAATAACTCCTGGTTTATGTGGTTAAAATAGATATAATAATCTTTTAAAAATATTTTCATGCCGCTTAATTGATATTATACTTATTTTATAGGTATTTGTTATGGTTTATCGCTTTGATATATGATGGAATATGTTCAACACGATATTAATACAACAAATCTCTCATAAAAGGCTATAAATCTGGTTCTGGATCACTGGATATAATAGGCAAAGTGATTCTACTAAATTGATATATATGTGTGTATTCCCCTTGGCGAAATATTATTATATCAAGGTGGTCGCTTACCTATTTTGTTATAACATTGAATGATTTATATTCGATTGAAGCCTGCTGGTGAGTGACATTACAGTCTAGATGTCTGAAGACTACCCATACGGAAAAA